TTCACCCCCAAAGGATGCTCTTTACCCCCAGAGGATGCTCTTTACTCCCACAGGATGCTCTTTACCCCCCAAGGATGCTCTTTACCCCCATAGGAGAAGCTCCTGGAGGTTTAAGCTGGTGCAAAGGGCCCGAGGCAGCTCTGGAAGCAGGAGCTCAGCACCCACCTGTGTTCTTCATCACCGAAGTCAAGCTGCTGAGGATGGAGCTGATCTTGGCCAGGTCCACGTTGGCCAGGTTGGGCAAGGCAAGGGCAGGGGCCGGAGGGGCAGGCGCTGCCTTCGGTGCCGGAGGGGTCGGGGGGGCTTGGGTTGGTGCCGGCACCGGTACCGGGGTTGGTGCCGTGGTGCTGGGCACGGCTTTGGGGATGCTCTCAGGCTTGGGGGGTGCTGGAGCCGTTGGCTTCTCCTTCCTCTCTTCCACTGCAAGGGGAGAGCAAGATCCCGTCATAGAAGTGCTTGGGATACGGGGTTTTCCCATGGGATTAGGCCTAATTCATGGGGTTCTGGCATGGGCTGGGGTGAAGGGAGCCCTTCCACTGGAGCAGGATGCTCCAACCTGGCCCTGAGCACTGCCAGGGATGGGGCAGGCTCAGCTCAGGGCACCCTGTGCCTCAGCACCCTCCCAGGGAAGAACTTCCTGGTCTCCAAACTGAATTCCCATGGCAAACCCAGGATTCCCATCATTCCCATCTAAAAGTGGGCTGGGAGATGGGAATGGTCGTGGATGGACCGGGATTTCCCTCCCAGCACCAGGCTGTGGAGCAGAAACGCAATGGCTCCAATATCAGCCCTGTGGGCTGCATCCCAAAGGATGCTCCAAGGGGCAATTCCAGCTCCGTTCACAGTATCCCAGTATCCCAGTATGTTAGAGACTGGAAGGGACCTCATAAGCTCATCCAGTCCAATCCCCCTGCAGAGCAGGAACACCCAGATAAGGTTACACAAGGATGCATCCAGGTGGGTTTTGATGCCTCCAGAGAAGGAGACTCCACAGCCTCCCTGGGCAGCCTGGGCCAGTGTTCTGGCACCTCACTGAGAAGGAGTTGAAGTGGAACCTCTTGTGTTCCAGTTTGTCCCCATTGCCCCTTGTCCTATCATTGTTTGCCACTGAGAAGAGCCTGGCTCCAGCCTCGGGACACTCCCCCTTTATATATTTATATACACTGATAAGGTCACCCCTCAGTCTCCTCTCTCCACACTATAGAGACCCAGCTCCCTCAGTCTCTCCTCATAAGGGAGATGCTCCCCTCCCTCCATCATCCCACTTGAACCATCCCAGCATCACCCACCGATGATCTTGGACGCATCGTCCTCCACATCGGAGAGCTCCATGTCCTCCACATCCCGGTTATCCGACACCGGCTCCGGTGTCACCGGCTTCCGGCTGCCCCCTGCCGGTGACCGGGCGTTATCCTCCTCTCCCATGCCCTGGAACGGGGACTCGGAGCCGGTTGGGGAGGGTGCGTCCATGCTGGGGGACGGGACCGGGGACTCCTCGGGGTCGGGGAGCGTGGCTTTCAGTTGGTCAAGCTTCTTCTTGAGGTTGCTCACTCGGTTCGCGAAGGTTTTGTAAGCCTTGAGGAGGAAGAGGTGTGGAATGAGGGGCTATTATGGGATGTTTCCCTAGGGAAACTGGGATGCAGCTTGGGAAAAGCATCCTCTGCTCAGCTTTACCCAGGGCAAGAGCCATGAGGAAAAGGGAAAACCATATCCCAAATGCCACTGTTCTCAGCAAGCTTCCGCCAATTCCCAACTTATTCCTGTAGTTTGGATATTGAGGGCTCTTCCCATCCTTTGGGATTTCAAGGACCCCCCCCCCATGCAAATCCAAAGCAAACCCTAACCCTAACCATAACCCTAACCCTAACCCCTAACCCTAACCCTAACCCCTAACCCTAACCCCTAACCCTCACCCTAACCCCTAACCCCAACCCTAACCCTAACCCCTAACCCTAACCCTAACCCCTAACCCTAACCCCTAACCCCAACCCCTAACCCTAACCCCTACCCCTAACCCCAACCCCTAACCCTAACCCCTAACCCTAACCCTAACCCCTAACCCTAACACCAACCCTAACCCTAACCCCTAACCCTAACCCCTAACCCCTAACCCTAACCCCCTAACCCCTAACCCTAACCCCTAACCCTAACCCCTAACCCTAACCCCTAACCCTAACCCTAACCCCTAACCCTAACCCTAACCCTAACCCCTAACCCCTAACCCTAACCCCTAACCCTAACCCCTAACCCTAACCCCTAACCCTAACCCCTAACCCTAACCCCTAACCCTAACCCCTACCCCTAACCCTAACCCCTAACCCTAACCCCTACCCCTAACCCCTAACCCCTAACCCTAACCCCTAACCCTAACCCCCCCCCTTTATGAATCCCAATGGGTTCAAACTCCTTGGATCTGGGATCCTCCAAGCCCTGAACCCCGCTCCCCTTGGGCAGAGCAGGGGATGGCCCCCAGGAGAAGGCACTCACGTTGGCCACCACCTTGACCTCCTTGTACTGGGCCTCGTAGAAGACGCCAGCGTTCTCCAGGGCCTCGCTGAGGGAGGGCCCGTTCTTCACCTGCTTGTCCAGGCCGCTGACGAACTCCTCCAGCTTGGCGCTGGCCTCCTCGAACTCCTTGGAGAACTTCTTGCCTCCCGTTTTATCTGCGGGGGGAGCTCAGCAAGGGGGAACCTTCCCATCCCCATCCCTCTGAGGGGTTAAAGCCGTGCCCCTCCTGCCCATCCGTCCCTTTAGCATGCGGTACCCGTGACACTCCAGAGCCCAGTTTGAGTGCAGCCGGGCCTCAGTTCCCCTTTACCCCCGCTCCAGCCTGAGCGTGCTGCATCCCATTGGATTGATGGCTCCGAATCCGCTTCCAACCCCAAATCCCACCTGGTTTGAAGGGTTTGGGATGCTCCAAAGACACCACAGGCCCATAGTGGGGTGGGTTGAAGAGCCCTAAGTGCACCTCAAGCTTCCCATTAACACAGGGTGGATGCTCCAGCTCCAAGGACCCCATTCCCAAAGGAAAACCAGTGCCTGCTCCAGTTTCTCCTCACCTTTGAGACACTTGAGGGTCTCGGTGCTGCAGACGTCGACGCGCAGGGTGGAAAGCTGCTTCTCCTTGAGCTCCATCTGCTCCTCAGAGCGCTTGTAGGAGAGCAGCTCCTCAATGAGAGCCTGCGGCTGGGAACGGGAAGGGAGCAAGGGAAGCATCCCTGGGACAGGCCATGGGAATGGCAGGGATGGGGTTTCCATGGTGGTTTCCATGGCATCATGGAATGGGTTGGGATGAAGGCAGCTTCAAGTGCATCCGGTTCCATGGGAGGAGGATGCTCCAACACTGCCAGGGATGGGGCATCCAAACCATCTCCATTCACCCCATCCCAGTGTCCCAGCGCCCTCCCAGATCCCATCTCCATCTCCCCTCTATGAGGTTAAAGCCATTTAACCCTTATCCTGCTCCTCCATCCCTTATCCCAAGCCCTTTCTCCAGGTCTCCCAGAGCCCCTTCAGACACTGGAGCTGCTCCGAGGTCTTTCCTTATGGAGCTTTCCCTTCCCCATAGGAACACCGGCGCTTCCCAACCATCACCACAACCCCAGGGCAATGGGGGCTTCCACTCACCCTGAACTCAGCCACGATCTTGGACTTGAGAGCAGCTTTGGGATTGGTGGATGCTGTCGGGATAAAGAGGGATAAGGGAGAGCTGAAGGCACCCATAGGGCCAAGCAGCAGCTTCCCATCAGCACTGAACCAGAGGCTCCTGATCCTGCTCCCAGTCCCTCTCCATAGCCAGCCCTCAGGGCTCTGCCCTTTTGGGAAGAGGGACCCCTGCAAGGCTTGATCCAAGAGCCTCATCCAAGGAAGAGCAAGGGATCTCCAAGCACTTCCCAAGTCAGAGGCCCCAAATCCACCCTTTTCTGCCCCCAAAAGCAGGAGATGCAGCACCCTTCACCCATGCTTGAATGCAGCACCATTGGGCTTTGGGAAGCAGCTTGGGATGTGAGGGTAAGGACTGGACCCTTCCAGACTCTTGGATTAACCTGATGTGGGCACCCAACAGAGTTTATGGGATGTGCCTCCAGCCTTAAGGCTTTAGGGCTCATTGATGAGTAAATCAGAGCGTGTTCCCTGCTATGGATCCCACTCATGCTCATCCCTGCTGCCCCAGATGGGCTCCATTCTGCATCATCCGAGCTCCACCTCCTCTTCCCAACGCTGTTCCCAAATCCCTGTGCTTTCCCCCCTGAGTTCCTTTAGGATCAGCACTCAGAGGCAGGCTTCCAGCACCAGCTCCTGGCCAGAAGGTGCCCGCTTGCTCCTCCTCAATCCCAGCATCAGCTCCCAGCATTCCCATGGGATCCTTACCTGGGGCTTTCTTCCAGCCCTTATTCTGCTGCTTGCTGAGGGTTTCTTTCAGCTGCTTCTGGGTTTTGAAGGTGGTACCTGGGAAACAGGGCAGGACTTGAGGGCAGCAGGGAAATCCCGGGATAACGCTGGGGTTCGGGGATGCAACAGCACAAGAGGGAGGAGGAGGTTGGAGCCAATGGACATGGGATGCTGCCCTCAAGGAAGCAGCAAAGGGGGCTCCTCATTTGGGTACCACACTTGGGTACCGCACTGGAGCCGTGCTGCATCCTCCATCATCTTCCCCATCAACCCTCATCCCAACTGGTACCCAAAGGAGAACAGGGCAGGATTTGCAGCAGGGAATTCCCGGGATAACACTGGGATTTGGGGATGCAACAGCACAAGAGGGAGGAGGAGGTTGGATCCTATGGACATGGGATGCTGCCCTCAATGAAGCAGCAAAGGGGGCTCCTCATTTGGGTACCACACTGGAGCCGTGCTGCATCCTCCATCACCTTCCCCCTCAACCCTCATCCCAACTGGTACCCAAAGGAGAACAGGGCAGGATTTGCAGCAGGGAATTCAAGGGATAACACTGGGATTTGGGGATGCAACAGCACAAGAGGGAGGAGGAGGTTGGATCCTATGGACATGGGATGCTGCCCTCAAGGAAGCAGCAAAGGGGGCTCCTCATTTGGGTACCACATTTGGGTACCACATTTGGGTACCGCACCGGAGCCGTGCTGCATCCTCCATCACCTTCCCCATCACCCCTCATCCCAACTGGTACCCAAAGGAGAACAGGGCAGGATTTGCAGCAGGGAATTCCCGGGATAACGCTGGGGTTCAGGGATGCAACAGCACAAGAGGGAGGAGGAGGTTGGAGCCAATGGACATGGGATGCTGCCCTCAAGGAAGCAGCAAAGGGGGCTCCTCATTTGGGTACCACATTTGGGTACCACATTTGGGTACCACATTTGGGTACCACATTTGGGTACCGCACCGGAGCCGTGCTGCATCTTCCCCATCACCCCTCATCCCAACTGGTACCCAAAGGAGAGCCAGGGCACTGTGGTCATGGCTTGGAGGATGCTTCTCCTCCCCATCCTGCTTCCTTCTGGCTGGAATAACCCCAGCTCCTACAGAAGGACTCGGAGCTGCTTTAGGGATGCCCACAAGGATCCTGGCTCCCAAAAGCAGAGGGGCAAAGGGGGAGGAACTCACTGAGAGCTTCCTTTAGGGCCAGGATGGTTTCCTCTGGGTACACGTTCCTGTCCTCCCAGATCTTGAAGATCCTCTCGATGGATTTGGACACGGATGGATCCCTGCATAAAAGAGGGGAATGGGGTGGGTTTGCCTCACCCCACACTGGGAAGAGGTCGGGGTTGGAATGCAGGGAGCCTCCAGGGGATGCTCTAAAGGCCTGGAATGGCACCAACACAACAGGGGTCTTTTTGGGGTGAAATGAGGGGGTTTTAGAGCAGAAGGCTCAGCAATAGGATGCTCCCATAGCAAATGGCTGATGCTCCATGGTTTCCCTATGTCCCATCCTTTAAAAACCAGGATTCAGGAACATTCCAGAGGGAATGGGAGGGCAGGGATCGGACAGGGCTCAGCCCACATCTTCCCATCCCAGGTTATTCCAATCACGGAAGCATGGAATGGGCTGAGGGGCATCTCCCTCCCATCCCATCCCATCCCATCCCCATCCCATCCCATCCCCATCCCATCCCATCCCCATCCCATCCCATCCCATCCCCATCCCATCCCATCCCCATCCCATCCCATCCCATCCCCATCCCATCCATCCCATCCCATCCCCATCCCCATCCCATCCCATCGCATCCCATCCCATCCCCATCCCATCCCATCCCATCCCATCCCATCCCATCCCATCCCATCCCATCCCCATCCCATCCCATCCCATCCCAGTGTCCCCTCTGGCAGGTTAAAGCCGTTCCCTTTGTCCTGCCCCTCCATCCCAAGCCCTTTCCCAGCTTTCCTGGCACTTCCCAACTGCCTCCAGGGGAAGCCCAGCTTCCAAGCTGGGTCCTACATGGCTTGGAGCCCCCTTCCTCCTAAACAACCCCCCCAACCCCATTCCATGCTGGGATTAACCCCCCCCAACCCCATTCCATGCTGGGATTAACCCCCCCCCAACCCCATTCCATGCTGGGATTAACCCCCCCCAACCCCATTCCATGCTGGGATTAACCCCCCCCAACCCCATTCCATGCTGGGATTAACCCCCCCCCAACCCCATTCCATGCTGGGATTAACCCCCCCCAACCCCATTCCATGCTGGGATTACCCCCCCCAACCCCATTCCATGCTGGGATTAATCCCCCACAACCCTATTCCATGCTGGAATTAAACCCCTTTCCATGCTGGAATTACCCCCTCCAACCCCTTTCCATGCTGGAATTACACACCCAATCCCATTCCATACTGGAATTTAACACCCCCAACCCCATTCCATGCTGGAATTACCCCCACCAATCCCATTCCATGCTAGAATTAAACCCCCCCCACAACCCCATTCCATGCTGGAATTAAACCCCTTTCCATGCTGGAATCACTCTCGCTCCCCATTCCATGCTGGAATTACCCCCCCTCAATCCCATTCCATGCTGGAATTAAACCCCATTCCATGCTGGAATTAACCCCCCCCCCCAACCCCATTCCATGCTGGAATCAAACCCCATTCCATACTGGAATCATTCTCCCTCCCCATTCCATACTGGAATTAATGTCCCCCAACCCCATTGCACACTGTAACTAAGACACCCCATTCCATGCTGGAATTAAACCCCATTCCATACTGGAATCATTCTCCCTCCCCATTCCATACTGGAATTAATGTCCCCCAACCCCATTCCACACTGTAACTAAGACACCCCCCCCATTCCATGCTGCAATTATACCCCATTCCACACTGGAATTCCCCTCCGCCCCCCATTCCACACTGCAATGTCACTGCCACCCCCCCCCCCCCCACCATTCCCGAAGCCCCCATTCCCAGTTTCAGGCGCCCCCTCCCTGGGCCCTCACTTGACCAAGGAGGCGGCCTCGGGGAGCACCTCGGCGAAGGCGTCGCGGAAGACGATGGCGTTCTTGCGCTTGCAGTTCTGGATCACGTCGTTGGCCAGGTAGAAGAGGTTGAGGCGGTGCGGGAAAGCGGCTGGAAGCAATGGGAACACCGGCGCATCACACTGGGAAGCACCCGCGCCTTCACCGGGCTTCCAATGGGACACAAAGAGCGTGGGGGCACCATAGGGATGCAAAGCGCAAGGGGGGAAACAAAGCCAAGTCCCATAGGAAGGGGGTCCTGATCGCTGCCTGCAATAGGATGGGGTCAGGCTCTGATCCCATGGGATTGACCCCCAAAGGGAGGTTTGGATGGAGGCAAAGGGGGCTCAGGGCTCTCAATGCTATGGGGTGGGCTAAGGAGGTGGGAATGGAGGAGATGCAAGGGGGATGCCAGGGGGGATTCCAGGGTTTTCCACATTCAATCCTTCCAATGTGTATTGCCACTATGTTATATACATATAGCATACATCTTCGATGTGTAAGAGCGATTTTCCAGGGGGGATCCCATGATTTTCCATGGGGGATTCCATGATTTTCCATACTCCATCCTTCCGATGTGTACTACTATATATACATATATATACTACCATATATATATATGTATTATATGGATAATAATGATTTTCCACTCATGATCCCATGATTTTCCATGGGGGATTCCATGATTTTCCATACTCCATCCTTCCGATGTGTACTACTATATATACATATATATACTACCATATATATATATGTATTATATGGATAATAATGATTTTCCACTCATGATCCCATGATTTTCCATGGGGGATTCCATGATTTTCCATACTCCATCCTTCCGATGTGTACTACTATATATACATATATATACTACCATATATATATATGTATTATATGGATAATAATGATTTTCCACTCATGATCCCATGATTTTCCATGGGGGATTCCATGATTTTCCATACTCCATCCTTCCAATGTGTATTACTATATATACATATATATACATTACCATATATATATCATATATACTATATGTATAATAATGATTTTCCATTCGTGATTCCATGATTTTCCATGGGGGATTCCATGATGGGTTCCATGATTTCTCCACCTTCAATCCTTCCAATGTGTATTACGACTGTATGACATGGATATTATACAAATTCTGTGTATTATATGTGCCATAATGATTTCCCATGGGTGATTCCATGATGGGTTCCATGATGTTTCCACATTCAACCCTTCCGATGTGTATTCAGACTGTATTACATGTATATTATACATGTATTATATGTGTAAGAATGATTTTCCATTTGTGATTCCAGGATTTTCCATGGTGGGTTCCAGAATTTTCCACCCTCAATCCTTCCAATGTGTATTACGACTATACTATATGTATATATCGCATATATTATACGGGTAATGATGATTTTCCATGTGGGATTCCATGATTTTCCATGATGGGCTCCATGATTTCTCCACCTTCAAGCCTTCAAATGTGTATTAAAACTGCATTACATATATATTACAAATATTATGTGTATTATATATGCCATAATGATTTTCCATGGGTCATTCCATGATTTCCCATGGTTGAGTCCATGGCTTTCCATGGGTGATTCCATGATTTTCCACAGGTGATTCCATGATTTCCCATGGTTTTCCATGGATGTTTCCATGATTTTTTATGGTTGATTCCACGATTTTCCATTGGTGATTCCATGGTTTTCGGTGGATGTTTCCATTATTTCCTATGGGTGATTCCATGATTTCCCATGGTTGAGTCCATGATTTTCCACAGGTGATTCCATGATTTTTTATGGTTAATTCCATGATTTCCCAAGGGTGATTCCACAATTTCCCATGGGTGATTCCATGGTTTCCATGGTTGAGTCCATGATTTCCCATGGGTGGTTCCATGGTTTCCCATGGTTGAGTCCATGATTTTCCACAGGTGATTCCATGGTTTCCTATGGGTGATTCCATGGTTTCCCACAGGTGATTCCATGGTTTTCCACGGGTGATTCCATGGTTTCCCATGGGTGATTCCATATTTCCCATGGTGATTCCATATTTCCCATGGTGATTCCATGATTTCCCAAGGGTGATTCCATGGTTTCCCAAGGGTGATTCCATGGTTTCCCATGGTTGAGTCCATGGCTTTCCATGGGTGATTCCATGATTTTCCACAGGTGATTCCATGGCTTTCCATGGGTGATTCCATGGTTTCCCAAGGGTGATTCCATGGTTTCCCAAGGGTGATTCCATGGTTTCCCAAGGGTGATTCCATGGTTTCCTATGGGTGATTCCATTATTTTCTATGGGTTATTCCATCATTTCCCACGGGTGATTCCATGATTTCCCATGGTTGAGTCCATGGCTTTCCATGGGTGATTCCACAATTTCCCAAGGGTGATTCCATGGTTTCCCATGGTTTTCCATAGATGTTTCCATGATTTTTTGTGGTTAATTCCATGATTTCCCATGAGTGGTTCCACAATTTCCCATGGCTGATCCCATGGTTCCCCACCTTCAACCCTTCCGATGTGCATCCACGCATCCAACGAGCGCCCTTCCCACCACGGGATGCTCACCCCCCCATTGGCTCCATAGGGATTTTCCAGCTCCCTTTTTGCCCCAGGGATCCCCCAGCCCTGCCTCCGGCATTCCCATGGGAACAGCTTGGGATGAAGGCACCTTAAAGCCCATCCCCTTCCATAGGGCAGGATGCTCCCAGCCCCACTGAACACTGCAGGGATCCCCAACCCTCCTCATTCCCAGCCTGTTCCAGCTCCAGTGGAGACGGGATAAGGCCCAAAAGCCGGGAATGGAGACACCAGCACCCGCAGCCATGCACTGAAACCCCCAAAAGCACCAAATCCTCTGCCCAAAGAGCTCCAAATGTTGGGAATTCCGGCGGTAAAAGGTGGGAAAAGAGCCCAAAAGCAAGGAGGAAGGCAGGGAAAAGGCTTTGCTCCATAGGGATAAATGGGGGGACGGGACCAGGAGCTCCAGGCCAAGAGAATGGGGATGGGTCCATGCAGGAATAAAGGGGGATAAGTGGGGACCGGGTCAGGATGGAGCCCTGGGGCCTTTCCCCTTCTTTAAGCCCAACACCAAGCACCATCCCTCCCTAACAGGGAAAGCGGGAATGTCCTCCCTCTATATCCCTGCTGCAATCCCAATGGATCCCCATCATCCCAACTCCTTCAGGCCCATGCAAACACCCCCTTTAGACCCCCCCCAACCCCATGCATCCCTATGGGCCCGGTCCCCGGGGGGTCCCGCTCGCACTCACAGCGCCGCAGCCACTTCATCCAGTGGCAGACGATGGTGCTGTGGTGCCGCTTGTTCTCCAAGCACCACGAGGACAGGCCCTGGATGGACTCCATGGTGTTGGTGACCGCCTGCAGCTTCCGATCGAGCGAGGCCTCCAAAGCCGCCGCCGCCGCTGCCGACGAAGAGGAGGCGGCGGCCGACGAGGAGGAGGAGGAGGAGGACGACGACGACGAGGCCCGCCCGCCGCCTCCGCCGCCCGCCGCCATTTTCGGGCCCTCCCGGAGCCACGCTCTCCCCCCCCCCCTCCTGCTCGGGGCCTTCCTCAGCGGCAACGGCCCCGCTGGAGGCCTATGGGGCACGGCGGGGCGACCCGGACCTGAAGCTAACGGGTTAAACGGGCTCCACTTACGACCGCAACCGGTTGCAACGAGAACCGAGGGGGGCCCAAGTCCTCGCTTAAGCCCCGGGGAAGGGAACGGGGGGAGGCGGCGGCGGCGGTCACCGGCCGGGCCCCCCCGAGCGCAGCGCCCGCCCCCCCGCCGCCATTTTGTGCCCGGGCTCCCCTCGCACGGGCCGCGGGCGCTCTGCGCATGCGCGGCTCCGCCCCTTGGCGCGCTCACACGCACTCACCCTCCCCCCCCCCCTTCCCCTTCCCTCCCCGGCGCCAAGATGGCGGCGGCGGCCGGCGTGAGGTGAAGCGAGGAGAGTTCCGCGTTCGGGCTTAAAGCGGAGCCGGAAGTGTAAAATAAAGCGATTTATGAGGGGAAATAAGGAAGAAGGAGGCGGATTCTGCGCTGCCAGAGCCCAACGAGGGGTGCGCACCCCAAAAATCCCCTCAGAAACCCGCACAGCAGCAGGTACCCCCCCCCCCCCGTCCTTTAAATTGAACCCGGAGCGGGGGCTTTGCATTAAAAAATAGGTCTTTAATGGCGGAGGGGGGGGGGGGCTCAATCCGTGCCCTCGAGCACGGACTCGCTGAGGGCCAGGTCCCAGTAGTGCTCGGCCCCGTGCTTCTTGAAGTGCTCCCGGGCCATGTTCTCCGTGGGGCACTGCTTGAACTTCATCTCGCCGAAGCTGCGGTCCTTGGCGGTGCCCTGGGGGGGGGAGGATGGATCCCATGGGATAAAGGGAGGATCCCATGGGAAAAGGGTGGATCCCATGGGAAAAGGAGGCTCCAAGGGGGAGGGGCTGTTGGTGATGGGAACAGGGGGGGTTACGTGATGCCCACCGGCTGGGATGGGAGTTTGGGATGGAAGTGGTTTGGGATGGACCAAGCCTGGGATGGACACTGGTTGGGGTGGATGCTGTTTGGGATGGACATTCCTTTGGGATGGAAGTTATTTGGGATGGGAGTTTGGGATGGGAGTTGTTTGGAATAGGAGTTTGGGATGGAAGAAGGTTGGGATGGGAGTTGTTTGGGATGGATGTTAGTTTGGGATGGGAGTTAGTTTGGAATAGGAGTTTGGGATGGAAGAAGGTTGGGACGGATGTCATTTGGGATGGAAGTTGTTTGGGATGGAAGTTATTTGGAATATGAGCTTGGGATGGATGTTAGTTTGGAATAGGAGTTTGGGATGGAAGAAGTTTGGGATGGATGTCATCTGGGATGGGATGTTAGTTTGGGATGGGAGTTGTTTGGAATAGGAGTTTGGGATGGATGTCATTTGGGATGGATGTTAGTTTGGGATGGATGTTAGTTTGGGATGAAGTCAGTTTGGGATGGGAGTTTGGGATGGCTGTTGTTTGGGATGGGAGCTGTTTGGGATGGGAGCTGTTTGGGATGGGAGCTGTTTGGGATGGGAGCTGTTTGGGATGAAGTCAGTTTGGGATGGGAGCTGTTTGGGATGGGAGCTGTTTGGGATGGGAGCTGTTTGGGATGAAGTCAGTTTGGGATGGGAGCTGTTTGGGATGGGAGTTTGGGATGGGAGCTGTCTGGGATGGCCACGATCCCCAAGCTCATCCCATTCCAACCCCTCCCCCAGCAGGTGCTTTGCCTCCATTCCCAAGCCTTGGAAGAACACTCCCCCCCTGCACGGATGGGGCAGATCCCTTGGGAACCCCGACTCACCTCCCACACCAGCGAGCATTTGTTGGTCTTCTTCACAGCCTCCTCATCGGACTCCTCCTCATCTGAAACCCAACCCCAAAAGGAGCCAAAATCCATGAATTTCACCCCAAAAAGAGAGCAATGGGGAAGGGGGGGGGGTTCGGTCCCCCCCCAAACTCACCCTCGCCCTTGGTGGCTGCCGTTTGCTCATCCCATTTGATCCGATGCAGCATGAGCCGCTTGAACTTCTTCTGTGCTTTGGGGCCTGGAAAAGAAGCTGGGATTAGGAACCAAGGAGGAACCTCGGAGCTCATCCCAGTCCCAACCCCTTTCAGGCCCCGGTTTTCCCCCTGGGAATTGCACCATTCCCTGGCCTCACCTCCTTCCACCACCACCACGTTGACGTCCTTGTGCAGCACCACCACCCCGCTCAGGTAGAGCTGCCCTGCGTTGGCCTCGATCTTGAACTTCTTGGCTGGGTTGCTCAAGTTCCGGACCCTGCATTGGGAAGGGGTGGGATAAAGCCCAAGGGGTTGGCACGCATCCATTGGGATGAGCTGCATCCCAAGAGCTCCATCCCAGCCCCTTCTCTGTGTGGCTATGGAGGTCAGCTTGGCCAAGAAGGGAAGCGTCAATCCCACTTTGGAGCCATGGGTTTAGTGTTTGGGTTTCCAAGTGGGATGCGTTGTTCTGGCCCCGCATTCCTTAGGGATGAATGGATGGATGGATGATGGATGATGGATGATGGATGGACGGATGATGGATGATGGATGGATGATGGATGATGGATGATGGATGGATGGATGGATGGATGATGGATGATGGATGGATGATGGATGATGGATGGATGATGGATGGATGGATGATGGATGATGGATGGATGGATGATGGATGATGGATGGATGATGGATGGATGGATGGATGGATGATGGATGGATGGATGATGGATGGATGATGGATGGATGATGGATGGATGGATGGATGGATGATGGATGGATGATGGATGATGGATGGATGGATGATGGATGGATGGATGGATGGATGGATGGATGATGGATGATGGATGGATGATGGATGGATGATGGATGGATGGATGAATGGATGATGGATGGATGATGGATGATGGATGGATGGATGATGGATGGATGGATGGATGGATGGATGGATGATGGATGATGGATGGATGATGGATGGATGGATGGATGATGGATGATGGATGGATGGATGGATGATGGATGATGGATGATGGATGATGGATGGATGGATGGATGATGGATGATGGATGGATGGATGGATGATGGATGATGGATGGATGATGGATGGATGGATGATGGATGGATGGATGGATGATGGATGGATGGATGGATGATGGATGATGGATGGATGGATGGATGATGGATGATGGATGGATGATGGATGGATGGATGATGGATGGATGGATGGATGATGGATGGATGATGGATGGATGATGGATGGATGATGGATGATGGATGGATGATGGATGGATGATGGATGATGGATGGATGATGGATGATGGATGGATGATGGATGGATGGATGATGGATGGATGATGGATGGATGATGGATGATGGATGGATGATGGATGGATGATGGATGGATGATGGATGGATGGATGATGGATGATGGATGATGGATGGATGATGGATGATGGATGATGGATGGATGATGGATGGATGGATGATGGATGATGGATGATGGATGGATGGATGGATGGATGATGGATGGAGGAGGAGGAGGGGGTCAGCCTCACCTGTACACCGCTATGTGCACCCCCTGTGACACGTCTTCCTTCAGCTTCTTCACCTTCTTGGCTTTCCGCTGCTCGGCCGTCAGCTTCCGGGCGGCGTTGGCCTCCTCGTGCGCTCTGCACACACACACACAGGGATGCGGCAGGCACCAAACATCCCAAAGCATCCCAAAGCATCCCTAATTCCTCCTCCCTGCAAGGCTCAGGGACAGGGATGAGCCTCATGGCTAAAGGGAGCCCTCCAGCAACCCCAATGGGGTCAAACCAACCCCATCTTTCCTCCATCACTTCCCAAAGCATCCCTGATTCCTCCTTCCTGGAAGGCTCAGGAATAACAGGGATGAGCCTCATGGAAGGGGGATCCCTCCAGCAGCCCCAATGGGCTCTCAAACCAACCCCATCTTTCCTCCATCACTTCCCAAATGCATCCCTAATTCCTCCTGCTTGGAAGGCTCAGGAATAACAGGGATGAGCCTCATGGAAGGGGGATCCCTCCAGCAGCCCCAATGGGCTCAAACCAACCCCATTTTTCCTCCATCACTTCCCAACTGCATCCCAAAAGGAGCCCCCAAAACCCCCCAATGTTCCACCTACTTCTGCCTCTTCGCCATCTGAGCTCGGACGTGGGCCTCCACTTTGGTTGGATCCTGCACAGCTTCCGTGCCCAAAACTCGCATCAAGTTGGAGATCCGGACTGCAAAAGGAATGGGAATGGAGATTCCAAAGGATCCCGAGGATTTGGGATGAGGCTTCCATGGCCCCCACGGCCTCACCTTTGGGCTCCGGAGGTGGCATCAGGCCCAGCCTGACCTTCTCCTGCAGCTCCTTCTGGGCCTCCCTGCGGGTCTGGCGCCGCAGCTTCTTCTGCTCCTTCTTGGTTAAATAAACCCCTAAGGTGACGGGGGTGTCGCTGTCCACTGCGGGAGCAAGGGATGGAGAATGGGAATCCCCAAAGGGAAACCGGGAATACCGAGCGCCACGATGCTGCAGGGGGTTGGAGCACACAGGGAATGGGGGGAAAGAGAGGGGGGGTCTGGTTTGCTTTGCTGGGATTGAAACAGGGCCAGGAGCAGAGGGATGTGGAGCTGTTGGAGCAGCTCCCATAGGAGCCAGGCTGGGTCCTTGAGGAGGGCCTAAAGGGGCTGCAGGAAACCTGGAGAGGGGCTTGGGATGGAGGGGACAGGATATGGGGAATGGCTTTGGAGATGGGATGTTGGGAAGCTCTTCCCTATGAGGGTGCTGAGGCGGTGTCGATCAGGACTGGGGGTACCTGGGGGGTTGAGCTGGGCCGGGTGTTCCACGAGGTTCGTGATCCCAAAGTACTCGTCCCTCTTGGAAGACGTTCCTCCTTTTCTAGATGGGAAAGGGCTGGGGGTGAGCAGTGTTCCCACAGCCTCCCATTCCCATGTTCCCATAGGAAACACCAGCAATGGGCAGGGAATACAGCTCCG